GGCCGCGGACGCGCCAGCGATGGAGGAGGCCGTGCCCAACCCGCCCGATGACTTCGACGAGGAGGACTTCTTTGGCCTTGCCGGCGGGGATCATGATGGCGAGGGCGCTGGCGAGGCCCCCGAGGCCCCTCCCGCTGCGCCGCGCACGCCAGAGGCGGCGCCGATCAAGCGCATCAAGACTGAGCCTGGCGTCTGGAAAGACCTCAAGCTCAAGCCAGGCCACAACGGCTGCATCGACCTCAGCTCCCCGTCGCCGCCCCAGAAGAAGAAGAAGAAGAAGCGCGACAAGTCGTTGGAGGAGGAGCTCGAGCAGACCATAGAGGAGTAGGCGCAGAGGGGGGGCGCATCTGCGTCGAGCGGCGGGGCGGCCGCGGACGGCGTACTTGTCGCGGCCCAGTGAGCGCGTGATCGACAGACAACGGGCAGAGCGCGCGCGCGGGCGCCTCGGGCGTAGGCGCGCCCTTGCGGCCGCGGTCGCAGGTGCGCTATTTCGCCCCAGACGGAGTGCCTGCGTGCCGCCCTGCCCGTTCCGAATTCGCGATGTGTCGCTCCCATATGTGCAACTGCCCTATCAAGCCCGTGGACCGCGCTGCGTCGGGGGGCGCGCGCGCGCGACGATTTCGGGCGCATTCGGTTGCGCCCCAGACGAGACCGTCGAGCGCCGCGCTGTTCCCAGCCCCCAGTTTTGCAGCGACGCCTGGAGAAAAAAGAGCGGATTGCAGTGGCGGAAGCAGCTTTCCTTGCGCGACCGTTGCCCACGCGTTCATTGCAGCGGCATTTTTGGCTATCAGGTCAGAGCGCGCGGCCCCGCCCCTCTCGCGCGCCCGCGAGCCATGTCTCGGTTCTTCCCGATTCCAAAGAGGGGCAAGGCCCGCGCCGCCATGGGGCCGCCGCGCTCACGCACGAAGGCCACGAAGGCGCCGATCAACGCCATAAAGGCACCGAAGAAGGGCCGCGCCGTGAAGAAGACCATAAACAAGAAGATCACGCCTCCCAAGACAGCGCCTTACATTCGACACGGCGCCGCGGCCACTGCGAGGGGTCGCAAGGACAGGGCTGCCTGGGCGAGCTGCATCAAGGACTTCGTCAACCGTTCCGAGAAGTTCGTGATTGACAAGCTGCGCAGAGAGAACAGATTGCCGAAGTGGGAGGGGGCGACGCGCTGAAGGACCACGGGGAGGGAGAAGGGCGGCGGGTGGGGGCACCGCTGCAGCCGCGATTGGTGCAGCCGCCGCGTGGCGCCGCGCTCTTTCCACCCAATCTTCAGCAAGGGCGCGGGCCAGTCCTTCTCCACCCTTGCAGACCAGGCCGCGATTCTCCTATGCGCAGTCGCTGGGTGTCCGCAAACTACAACGCGCCTCTTGGCGCAGAGGAACCACAAGGCCGTCGAGAGCATCTGCGGCTCGCTCCACGCGGCGCGCGCCGCGCACGTTCGCGCCAACGAGCCGAAGATCAAATGCGGCCAGGGCGCGGAGTGGGCTGACGTCGAGGCAGACGAGGTGGACTTGGGGAAGATGGAGGACCCCGCCGCTGGGCCCCGCACCGCGACCCCAGTGATTTGGGAGCAGCGGGGCGGGATCGTGCAGCGTGGCGCCCCCGAGTCTCTCGTGCTGTTCCGCCTCAAGCCGAAGAAGACCAAGCGTCGGGCCCCTGGCCCTGGGCCCATCCGCAAGGTGGATTGGGCGCCGCTCTCGAAGAAGTGGCTGAAGAACAGGAACGTGATATTCCACGCGGACGGCGCGCGGTCTTATAAGTTGAAGGAGCAGGGCGTCGTCCACGATTGGGTCGTTCACAAAAAGAAGAAGGCCAAGGTGAAGGGCAAGTGGGTATGGCTCAAGCCGTCCTACAGCCAGAAGGTGTACCACGACGTCCCCGACCCCCTGAAGGCTGGCGCCAAGAAGAGGATCTGGGTCAAGACTGGCACCCAGATCATCGACGGCGCGTGGCGCGAGCTCCGCCGTTTCGCCGGCAAGAACAAGGCCGTCGGCTCGGCGCACCTCATGCAGAAGGTCCGCAGCTTCCAGTGGGCGCACTGGAACCGCGGCAAGGACCTGTGGCACGAGACGGGCGCCATGCTGCAGGAGGCCTGGAGCAAAAAGCACGGCTGATGAGCGATGGACTTTGTTCTCGGCCCAGGTCGCGCGCGCGTGCCCGCGAGGAGTCGCCCTGCATGGCGTTGGCGCGAGCGGCGTGGCGCTATGATGTTTGCTCTAGCAAGCGCCCCCAGGGATCTGCCTAGCTGTGCTGCTGCCGCTGCCGCTCCCCGTGGCCCCCCGCCCTCTGCGAATGCGAAAGGTTGCCTCGCGTATCTCCCTCCTCCCGCCCTGCGCAATACTGTTTTTAGTATTCGCTCCGCATCTCTCATGCAGCTGATCCGTTATGTGCCGCGTCACTGTGTGTAGTGCGCTTAGGTTTCCTGCTTTGCACGATGCTCTGGCACGCTTGCCCGCCCTCCTCCCCGCCCCTCCCCCTCCTCCTCTCTCCCCCTCCTCCTCCTCCTCCTCCTCCTCCTCCTCCTCCTCCTCCTCCTCCTCCTCCTCCTCCTCCTCCTCCTCCTCCTCCTCCCCCTCCTCCTCCTCCTCCTCCTCCTCCTCCTCCTCCTCCTCCTCCTCCTCCTCCTCCTCCTCCTCCTCCTCCTCCTCCTCCTCTTCCCCGAAAGCACAATGAAACATAAGGTTTGATATGCAGGGGGCGGGAAACCCTGTGATTTCATTGGGATGTTTGGGATTCCTGGGATCAGGATCAAAGAAACCATGTGTTTTCATTCGGATTGTTGTTTTATGTTTGGGCCCCGCAAAAAAAAAAAAAAAAAAAAAAAAAAAAAAAAACGCGCCACAGCCTTCGAATGCTTCGGCCGAAGAAATCCAAGTGAAAACATAAGGTTTGCAAAGCAAGGGGGCGCGAAACCCTGTGAGTTCACTGGGATTTCTGGGATTCGGGGCCCTGGGGGCTACAACGCTGATTTTCGTTCGGAGGTGCCAAATCCCAAAAATCAAAAAAATCCAAATGAAAACACAAGGTTTCCTTGATCCTCATTCCAGAAACCCCAAAAACCCAAGTGAATTCACATGGTTTGGCGCCCTCTGGCTTCGAAAACATGCGATTTCATTGGGATTTCTGGGGCTCGGAGCCCTGGGGGCTGCACCGTTGATTTTCGTTCGGGGGTGCCAAATCCCAAAAATCCAAAAAATCCAAATGAAATCATAGGGTTTCCTTGATTCTCATTCCAGAAATCCCAGAAATCCAAATGAAATCATAAGGCTTGGTTGCACTTCGTGTATGCAAGATGGTCCCTGCACGCTTTGGGTTTCCTCTTCGGGGGAAGGCGCCTGGTGCACGTTCTACAGTGCGCTGCCGTTCTAGCGGCCAGAGCGCGCTTTGGAGTGGAGTCGAAAAAAGGATCCCGCTGACGCCAGGGAGAGATGTAAGTCAGGAAGGGGAAGGAAAGGAAGGGGGATGCAGGAAGGAGGGGAAAGGGAATTAATATGAGTGTAGAACATGGCCGACACAATAAAGGCCTGGAATGGGCGCTGGGGGGGGGGCTGTCCATATATATCTATCTATATATATATATATATATATATATATATATATATATATATATATATATATATATATATATATATATACCCTGCCCCACCTTTTTGCGTGCGGACACGCCAATGGTCAGAGTAGGCTAGACCCCCCTCAAACCCCCCAGCTACTGAACGCACCGGGATGCAAGGGTACCCTACGCCACGCATTTCCTAGGCGGCAAGCACGCGGTGCCTACCGCACCGCGCGCTTGCCACCTAAGGCGTGCGAGGTGGTGCTCCACCGCTCGCATACAGCAATCTGGGGAGGGGGCCTACGCTATCCTCTGGGCTACGGCACCAGCAGAAAGCGCGCCTCAACACGGAAGGGGTGGACCGCGGGTGGGAGCCCAAACAGGCTACGGACGTGTTGGGGCGGCGTGTCCTGGCCAAAGGGGGGAAGACGGGTATACGCATACAGGGAACCAGTATACAGACATACCCTGCCCCACCTTTTTGCGTGCGGACACGCCAATGGTCAGAGTGGGCTAGACCCCCCTCAAACCCCCCAGCTACTGTACGCACCGGGATGCAAGGGCACCCTACGCCACGCATTTCCTAGGCGGCAAGCACGCGGTGCCTACCGCACCGCGCGCTTGCCACCTAAGGCGTGCGAGGTGGTGCTCCACCGTTCGCATGCAGCAATCTGGGGAGGGGGCCTACGCTATCCAACTCCCCCACCTACTGGCCTTAAGGCTACGTAGGCCGTCCGTGTTTAACTCCCAACCCCCCCTGAAAATGGCATATTTATGCCGGTCCTTAACTCGGGGGTGTGCGGGGGGGCAAACCACAGGATTGCTAGGGAGGTCTGGGCACGCCAATCGCGCCAGGCCACAGGCCTGACGCGGGGCAGGCGCCGCGCAAGGCGGCCCAAGGCGTGCCAGACATCCCCCAGCAGTCCCTTGGTTTGGGCCCCCAGCACATCCCTCCACTCCACGCCCTTCTCCAGCCCTTGCCCTCCACACGGCGCGGCAGCCTTTTCTGGGGTCCAAGGGCCGTGAGGACGGCACCCAGGAGGGGGGCGACACTCTGCAGCCGCCGGAGCGGCGCGGCAACGCCCAAAGGGCAGGCCGCGCAGAGTATTATCCCCCCTTTGGGTTCCGTTTTCACGGCCGTTGGGCCCCGAAAGGGTTGGCTCGTTCGAGGAGGAGGCGACGGGGGGGGGCGACGGGAGGAGGCGGCACGAAGCGCGAAAGAGGTGAGACGGGCGTGGACCCCAAACAGAGAACGCCCCCCACACAACGGGCGGGCCCAGGGGCCCCAGGAAACCAGGACCAGCGAGAGAGAGAGAGAGAGAGAGAGAGAGAGAGAGAGAGAGAGAGAGAGAGAGAGCCACGCGGCCCCACGGCGGGAGGGCGGTTGCCTTCGCCGCAGCGAAGACAAACGCCCGACTTTTCGGCAAGCACTGTTGGGCGCAAGCAGTGGCTTTTACAGTGGCCAGCTGCAGGAGCCGCAGTCCTCGCGCAACGGCGCGGGCTGCCTCGCTCCGGGCTGGGCGTGCACTGAGCCGGCCACCGCGCCTTTGATGCGCAGGCGTGCGGTGGAGAGCCGCGCACCTGCACCAAGGTTGCGGACCGCAATCTGCAGGAGCGCCACGGCCATCTGGCTGCGGACGACGACTGCCTCTGCGCAGTTCCTGCCAGCCGTGGTCTTGGACGAGCTGATCTGGACCACGAAGAGCTCGCTGCGGTAGACGATGTCGCCCACCGTCAGGGCAAACACCTCCGCGCCTTGGAGCATGCCCTCAAGGTCGACGAGAAGGAGGGCGGCCACGTCGAAAGCGCCTGCCGCGCAAGCGAACCCCGCCATGGCTGCGACGGCCTGGGTCGTGAGCAGCAGCACCCTGGACGCTGGCTCATGCTGCCTCCATGTTTTGAGGAGAGTCCAGCTCAGGTCGAGGTGTCGCCTTAGGCGAGGCGCCGCGAAGCACACCTCTGCCAGAGTGTTGCTGGCGGCCGCGACGCCCGCACCAAAGGCCCACAGGCCCTCGAGGTACTCCGCGACGAGGGCGTCGGCGTACTCGGGGTCCGTCCCGCGGCGCCTCACGGGCACGGGCCTGCGGTGAGCGGCCGCGCGCACGGCACGGGTCGCCCTCGCCTCCTGGGCTTCGAGCCACGACGAGACCACGTAGCCGATCAGTGGGTACATGTCGGCCGCCACGACGACGGCCATCCAGCGCATCAAGATGGGCTGGAGCTTCCTGCTGCTGCTGCGGCCCCTTGTCACGATGGCCGCGACCACCTGGCTGTCGACGAGGTGCAAGAACCTGCTCCCGTGCTTCCCGACCTTGCGGGCGCGCCACCTGATCGCCGACGTGGCCGCCTGCAGCTCTCTCTCATTTATGTGGGTGAAGCTCTGGCTGGGCCAGGCCATGCTGATCACCACGCGCCACTTCCACACGAACGGGTTCAGGCTCGTCCTTGGCCAACCTCGCGGGCGGCAGGGGACGCCGTAGTCCAGCCTGACGTCCGACTCGCCCTCCTCCGCGCGGCTGAGGTAGTGCAGGACCGGCTGCCTCGCCTCCGCAGCGTCCGGCTCCCCTGGCTCCGTGACGAAGGCCGCCGCCTGGTCCTTGTCGCCCGGCACTCGCGGACGGGGGTCGCCTCTTCCAAAGACAGCTCCCTGTTCAGCGCGCCGCGGCGGTGCTGGAGTTGCTGGCACAACCATGCCACGACGTGAATACTGAGGCTGTTCCCGAGGAGGAAGGCCCTGGCGTCGGAGGCGTCCTGAGGGTGCGAGCCCTTGGTGGCTAGGGAGGTGCACCTCGGTCCCCCTGGCCAAGAGCGGCCCTCGTCCTCCCACGCGAGGTCCATGAGCAGGACGCCAGGGCTCACCAGCTCGTTGTAGACCCCGCGGTCGGTCAGCCGAAGAGGCGCCGATGCGGAGACGCCCCAGCTCGTCCAGAACAGGCGCGGCCTGCAGCACGGCACGAACACCGACGAGCACACCAGCGTCGGTCTCGCCTGCAGCGCCTCCGAGATCAGCTCCACGCTGACGTCGGGCATGCTGGCCACGTTCTCCACGAACCAAACGAGTCTGTCCTTGAAGACGGCGGCGAGGAGAGCCAGAATACGCGGCACCTCGTGGAACAGCGAGGACTTCCTGCCGCTGAGGCCGCGCCCGCCGACGTTGAGGCGTGACAGGTCCTGGCAGGGGGCTGCCCGCAGCGACCGCCACGAGGTCGACGAGGCCGCCGAACGCCTCGAACAGGTCCCGCACTGTCTCGCTGCCCACGCGGGTGACGTCGCCCCCGCCGATGACACCTAGCCAGCGGAGCCTGACAACGCGCCTCGCCTTGACGTCCGTCTCGGCCGCGACGTAGGCCGCGATGCGGAGGGGCAGCCTCGAGAAGGCGACGGCGAGGCCTCCGATGCCGTCCAACAGGCCGATGAGCAGCACCGACAACATCCTGCGGACTGCCCTGGCGGGGACGCGTGGGTTGGCTGCCGCCCACGGTCGGGCGGGGTCCTCGGGCATGTTGAGGAGCCTGGCCCCTATCCCCAGCTGGTCGAGGACCGTCCTCGGCACCTGCAAGGCGGCGGCGACATCCTCGCGCAGGCCGGCTGACGTGCACACGCCGCCGCCCATCTCCGACGCGTCCAAGGACGTGACCATGCCGTCGATGCGCGCCCGCAGCGAGGAGGCGGCCAGCGGCAGGACCATCACGCCCATGAGGAGCTCCTCCACCATCTCCGCGTCCAGGTAAGCCTCCTGCGCTGAGGACGCAGCCAGCGTCCAGACGGAGCTCAGGACCCCGAAGAGTGGCCGCCTGAACTCGAAGGCCCTCGCGAGCTCGCCGAGGGCCGCCATGCCGACGCGCCACGGGACCAGGCGCCGCTGCACCGCGGCCAAGCAGAGGCCCGCAGTGGTCAGCGCCTTGGAGGCGGGGACCGCGAGGCGCCCGCTGACGCCGTCGACGTCCGCGCCCATGCGCTCGACCTTCAGCTGCCTGCAGTGCGCCTTCTTGGCCGAGAAGGAGGCGCTCGCCCTCTCGTAGCTGGCGTAGACCTGCAGCTGGAGGTCGCTCGGGGCCCCCACGAGATTGCGGGCCAACACCTCCTCGACGATCTCCGGCGCATCGAAGTCGTCGATGTAGACCTGCCACCAGCCAGCGCCCTGGCCGCTGCCTGCCTCGACCAGGGGCCGCGCGCAATCCTTGCGCCACTCCCCGCCTGGGGGAAGCCCCGCCCCGAGGGGCGGCGCCAGGCGCCACAGCCGTCGGTGAATGTGCTGGAAAACGGGCGCCGCGAGCGACCAGCCCATGGCGATGACAGCCGAGGTCACGTAGGCGACGGGCTCCGAGCGGCCAAACAGCTTGCCCGCGAGCGGCCGCCCCACGGCCATGCAGGGGTGCCACGCGGGCGGGGCCCGCCACACGAAGGAGGCCCCCTTCTGGTCGTCGCCCGCCCACAGCAGCAGCTTCCCCTCGGGGGTCACGACCGACGTCCAGGACGTCGAGGCCGCAAGCAGCGCCGCCTCGCCCACGTGGGCCTTCAGGAGCGAGTCGCCTGGTACCATGCTGGGGACGAGCCTGGTGACCCGCGTGGCGCCAAGCGCTGGGGTGCCCATCTTCTCCACCGCGAACAGGCCGTTCAGCTCGGGCTCGCCCCTCACGCAGACCAGCTCGCTCTCCGCGAGCGCGGTGAAGATGCTGAGCGACACGAAGTGCAACGCCAGCTCCTCCCAGTCCGCCTCCGTCTCCACGCTCACGCGGGCCCGCGGCAGCGGGTCGGGCCAGTCGGACTGGTCGAGGAGCGCCAGCTCGGGGCGGCGCAGCCAAGCGCCGACCTCGTCGTCAACGAAGTCGATCGCGTCGAGCGTGGCAGCGCACTCCCGCGCGGGCAGGCCAGGGGCCAGCTCGTAGAGCCGGCAGGGAAGGGCCTTCACGCCCGTCTCGTCCTCGCACGCTGATCCGCAGCCGCACGCCAGCTCGTCGATCGCAAGGGCCACGACCATGGCGAGCGGGTCCTCCGCCAGGGCCGCCACTCGGCTCTTCAAGTGCACGTAGACCCGCGTCTGCGCTTTCGACAGGGTCGGCCTGTGGCGCCAGCCTTCCTGCGCGCGCCCGCAGAACGCACAGTCGAGCACCACCACGCTGAGGTGCAGCCACGCCTGCTCGCTGACCTCCCGCGCCGCGGCGCGGCGGCGGCACCTACGTGCCTTGGGCAAGATGCTGTGGGCCAGCCAGCGGCCCACCTCCTCGGTCGACGGAAGGGGAAGCGGCAGGGCGTCCCGAACCCTCCTGTTCGACGACCCTCCGCTCCCACAAAATGTGTCCGCACGCATACAGAACGACCGAGCGAGGTGGCCTAGGCTGCCTGGGTGCCGTCGCACCGCTGCCGCCAGCTGCGCCGCCAGGTCGACCGCGACGATGTTCTTGCCGAAGCCGAGGGAGAGCTCGTCGGACCAGCACTGCAACGCAGTGGCCAGCGGGGGCCCCGCGACGCCCTCACCCCCCTCGCATAGGGTGGCACGATCTCCGCCCTCGGTAAACCGAGTTTGGCCCACGCCGCGGACTGCCCCACCAGCACCCCTCGCAGGGCTCGCGCCTTTGATGGAGGCATCGGCCACCCTCCCTGAGGAGGCTCCACCATAGCGCGGGGCAGGCGGCAGGCTGCCGCCGCTCAGGTCCGACGGGGGCGCGCGCCCGCACGAGCTCTGAAGGCTCGCAGGCGGTGCTGGGTGTTCGCCTCCCCCGACTGCTTCAGGAACTCCTTCCGCATCTCCGCGAAGGACATCTTCCACGGCGGCGGGGCTGCCGACCCCCCGGCCCGCGGGGGGGGGCCGCCCGCGGCCGCCGCCAAGGGGGCTGGTGGGGCCGCCGCAGAAGCCTTCCTGCGGGGCGGCCGAGCCCGCGGCTGGCGGGGGGCCTGCCCCCCAGGTTCCTTTCCCTGCGCTGTCGCCGGGGGTGCCCCTCCTGCCTGGCCGACAGACGGAGGCGCCAGCGGCGGGCGCGCCCCCGTCGGGCCTCCGCCCTATCCCGACGTCTTGGCGGAGGCCAGGCGCGCGGAGAGCTCGTCCAACCTCATCTCGCCGAGCTGGATGCTGCGAATGGGCTCCTCCTCCTCGGTCCAGATGGCCGTGGGCTCGTCGCGCGGCGGGATCAGCTCCAACCACTTCGCCGCCGCCTACGAGCCGTCCGACGTGGCCACCTGCAGCGCCTCCAGGCCCTGGACGATCAGGTCGCAGGCGTAGGCCGCCTCCCCCTACATCAGCAGGTCCACCGCCTCCGCGAGGGTGCGGAGCTCGCGGTGCGTCTGCGCGCCGATCTCCTTCACCGGACCCTGCGGCAGGTAAATCGTGAGGAGGTACCGCAGCGCGATCGGGCCCGTCGCGTCGACGGCCGCCTCTCCCCTCCTGCGAGCCCAGGACATCCAACGTCTGCTGCTGGCTCGGCTCCGTGAGGCGGCCCGGGGAGGCGGCTGCCATTCGACTACAGAAGGCCCTCCTCGCGGCCAGGTCGCGCGGCACAGCCGCGGGGTCCAAGGAGCCGAGGCCGCCCCCGCCGATGTCGCCAGGGGGGGCCTCCTTGCCCACGCGGATGGCCATCGCGAGCGCCCGCGCCAGCTCCGCCATGCCGCCGCTCAGACCCGCTCCTGGCGGCGCCCGCTCGGACACAGGGTCCCCTGACCCTCGGGGGCCCGCGTCCGAGGCGGCCCTCTTGAGCTTCGCGGCGCGCTCGACCAGCAGGTCCCCGAGCGACCGCTTCTTTGCAGGCCCCTCGCCAGCCGCCTCTGCGCCGAGGGGGAAGCCGTCCAGGTCCAAGTCTCCAGCAGCCCGCTTCCCCTCCTCGAGGCGCACGCGAGCCCCTGCGAGCTTGCCTCCCAGGCCGCCCGCGGCAGCTGCCTCCCCGTCTGCGGCCCGCTCTGAGCCAGGGCCGCGCGACGAGCCTCCTACGCAGCGGAAGCCGTCGAAGGGGGCAGCGCCAGGCGGGGCCCAGGGAGGACCTGCTGCGGCTGGCGGGCGACCCGTCGCTTTGGCCACCGCAGCGGGCCTCGCGGGGGGGGCGGCGGCGACCAGCGGCCCGAGGCATGCTGCTGGCCAGGCCGCCTCTGGGTTCGCCTCCTGGCACTCGACGAACAGCGCCCGCAGGTCCGTGAAGCCAAGCTCCTCCCCGTCCGCCACGTGGATCAGCTCGGTGCTCGTCACCCGCCCCTCCACGACTGAGCACGGGTTCTCCCAGCACCCGTGGATGAGCGGGCGCTCTGTCACCGCGCTCGGCTGCCCAAAGTGGCTGGCCACCCAGTCCCAGTGGCCGTCGCCGCTGAAGAGGAACTCGGCCTTCGCGAAGCGCAGCGGCGGCTCTGCGCTGGAGACCCGCAGCGCCCGCACCGCGAACCGGCACCGCTCAAGGCCGCCCGCTGTGTAGCACGTGCTGCAGTAGCATTTGCCCAGAGCCACCGCCAATGGGGCGATCAGCGCGGCCCCGTCCTCCACGGGCGCGGGCACGACGGCCTCCGCCCCTCCGAGGTCCTCGTCTCCACCGTCGGGGTACTCGACAGCCGCCTGGGCCACCCAGCCTCGCGCCTGCCAGGAGTCAGGCCAGCGACCCTCGCCTCCCAGTGCTGCCGCCAGGAGCGCGAGGAGGGCGGATGGCGGGCCTCGCAGCAGGCCCCGCGGCCACCGAGACACTCGTGGCCGTGACCCCGAAGAATGCATGGATCCTAAAGCCCAAACAGGCTACGGACGTGTTGGGGCGGCGTGTCCTGGCCAAAGGGGGGAAGACGGGTATACGCATACAGGGAACCAGTATACAGACATATCCGCCGGCCCCCTTGTGGGGCCACCAGGCTGCGAGGCCCGTGATTCGCAGTTTCCTGTACCAGTTGTAGTTTCCAGTTTCCAGTGTTACAGTTTTGCTTCTTGCTGGTTACTGTAACTAGTTGACTTCTTGCTGGTTACTGTAACTAGTTGATTGACCGCGCGAGGGGGGGAGGCCCACACAAGACTTTTAGCGTCTCCTGGGCGCGTTGTCTGAAGTGCTGGGGGGGCTCGAAATCGACACCCCTCACGCAGATCCGCGGGGTCAGGGTCCAAAAAACACAAAGGGATTTGCCACATTTCTGTAATTCGGTGCCACCCCTCACGCAGATCCGCGGGGTCAGGGTCCAAAAACACAGGGGATTTGCCACATTTCTGAAATTCGGCGCCACCCCTCACGCAGATCCGCGGGGCCAGGGTCCAAAAACACATGAGATTTGCCACATTTCTGAAATTCGGCGCCACCCCTCACGCAGATCCGCGGGGTCAGGGTCCAAAAACATAAGGGATTTGCCACATTTCTGAAATTCGGCGCCACCCCTCACGCAGATCCGCGGGGTCAGGGTCCAAAAACACATGTGATTTGCCACAAGTCTGAAATTCGGCGCCACCCCTTACGCAGATCCGCGGGGTCAGGGTCCAAAAACACATGCGATTTGCCACAATTCTGACATTCGGCGCCACCCCTTACGCAGATCCGCGGGGTCAGGGTCCAAAAACATACGGGATTTGCCACATTTCTGAAATTCGGTGCCACCCTTCGCGCACATCCATCGCAAGGCGTGGTAACCCAAACTGCGAGAACTCCCTCGGCCCTTTAATCGCAAGGTGTGGTAACCAAGCCCGTAAACCATACACGTCTTACCAATCGCCAGGTGTGGTAACCCCTCTTGTGATCAGTTGGTTTTGCTGATTGCGAATCGGCTTCGCATGAAGTTTCGATACTGCTTCACGACAGCGCCAAGGCCTCATGACTTAGCTCTTCCATGGCCAATTCTCCGAGAGAGGGGGCCGGCGGCAGGGGGCGAAGCCCTTACGGTATATACACAAGATTTTAAGGCTCGCTGCGCTTCGCCTTCAAATCTTGATCCTTGCACCTACGATGTTGCTGGGCGCGGGCGAGAACACAATTGTTCAATGAGGAGTGTGGGAATTGTGCGAGCGGAGGCGAGGCGAGGCGAGTGCGCGGTAGCGTCCGGGGCGGGGCTCAGGGCGCAGCGTTGGTGGACGCTTGAGTGGAGGTGAAGGTGGACAGTCGGATGCCGGACGCTAGAGGTCGGAGTGCTGAGCTGATGGAGGCTGGAAGTCTATAGGTGGAAGTCCCACCAGCCCTTTAGGGCTACGGTGGTATAACGAGTTTGGTCTTCTCTCTTCCCCTTCCTTCCCCTGCTCGGGGGAGGGGTAACCTTCCCCTGGACCTGGAGGGGGGGGGGATGGAGGCGTTAGAGCGTCCAAGACGGCTCAAGATGGCTCCAAGAGGCGCTCCAAGTTGCAAGATGGCCTCCAAGATGGCCCAAGATACCTCAAGATGGGTCAAGATAGCCTCGACACACCTCCAAGAGTCCTCAAGACGGATCCAAGTGCCCTTCGAGCCCTCCACGGCGCCCTCCAAGAAGCCAAAACCCTTCAAAAGCCTAAGGAAAGTCAATGTGTTTGGCATTCTCTTCTTTTCGCTTCCGATGGGCCTCTGAGGCATCAAGATGGCCCCAATATGGCCCAAGAGAGCCCCAAGAGGGGCCCAAGAAGGCCCAAGACGGCCCCAAGATCGCCCAAGAGGCTTCCAAAGAGCGCTCCAACACGTCCCCAAGACGCCGTTTGAGAGCCTCCGAGGGGGGGACCTGAATTGAGGACCCCCGCTCTTTTTGAACAATGGGGCCCAAGACGGCCCCGAGAGGCCTCCCAGCCTCTCCTGAAGATTCTCCACCCTGCCCTTTTTGGCCCAAGATAGCTCCAAGAGAGCCCTAGATAGCCCAAGATGGCCTCCAAAATGGCCCAAGATAGCCAAGCATGGCTCAACATAGCATCCGACAGATCTCCAAGAGGCCTCAAGACAGCCTGAATATGGCCCGACATAGCCGAGCATGGCTCAGAATAGCGTCCGACAGCGTCTAGCCGAGCATGGCTCAGGATAGCCTCTAACAGGCCTCGGGAAAGCTGGCAATAAATTCTGGACGGGCTGGTTGGGATTTTTTTTTACAGCCGCAGGCGGAAGCGCCAGCGGCAGGCGGTCACGGTCGGGCTGCGGCCGCGACTAGGGGGGCGGGCGCGCGCGGGGCCGCGGTCAGGCGGCAGGCAGCAGCGACCCAGGGCGTCTGAGCCAAGGCGTGCATATCCAGGGAGTCTGCAGGGCAGCCCCTGAAAGGAACATGCAACGGCGCATCCAGGGAGTCTGAACAGG